GAATTAGTTTAGAATAAATATTAATTATTTTAGTGTTCCTTTTACGAGGGTTGTTACAAGTGAAAGGGACAATGAGATGAAAGGAAACACTCTATCTCTAGTATCCTCTGATTATATCCTCTACGTGAGTAGCAAAGGGTGGAATATACATAAGGTCATAAAAGGTCAGTGAACAGTCAATGGGTTGTAAAACATGGTAGACTTTCCGCGTATGCGATCTCTTTGCAATACAAACAACTACATATAAATCTTTTTAATTTTTAATAGTCATCTGTACATACATACAAATAAATAAAATTGGAGTATCTGTTTGTTTTACCAAATGCTTATGTCTGTATACACGGTACTTACACACACAAAAGTATCATTTTTTGTCTGTGCTTGGTCCGGTTAATCTCTTAAAAGGCTGGACCGATTTTGACGGGACTTTTAGTGGCAGATACCTTTTATAAGAAGGAGTAACTTAGGCTACTTACCACGCGGGCAAAGTCGCGGGCACAGCTACATACACAAAAATAAAAGAATCATCGCCTAGAGATTCTTTGTCTAATTCGTGAAAAATAAGATGTTTATTTACAAGACCTTGATTTTCACATTAAATAAGCTACGGCTCACTTAGCAACCAACAATAGGTACTTATGTTAAATTGTTTTATCATAAGCTACAAAGTTAGTGCACGTCTGGTGCGTACGGCGCAGGCGCGGTGCCGAGGGCGTCTGGAGGTCTATGTTGCCGCAGACGATCGCAGTGCACAAACATAAAAGCACTTTTTCTAGTATAAACGTGTGTTTAAGGCTGATATACATGAAATATTTGCTGAGTTTTAATAATAAAATACGTCGTCCAACAAGAACAAGACAAGATCGGGCTTTGCCACATAAAATACTTATGTATATATAAGATTTGGTAGGAACATAGTACCAATTCTTTCGCCTGTTCAAATGGTTGATTATTAAAGAACATTAAACAAGAAGGTTTTTTAACTTTTGCGTAATCAATAAATTTCTGCGATATATTGAATTAAAAATGTCGCATAACCTTTGTACATTTTCTATAGTTGTGATGTAGAGAGCCTCCACTTCTCAACTATCTAAGCCGCTTCTTCTTAAATTGAAGCAAAGAGTAAATAAGTATCTAATATTTTTCTAGCTTTGATTAACGAATTATATAGAATTTCGTTTTTCTTACCCAACATTCTTTATAGTAAACACTAAGTTTTTATATTTGATAAATTTTGCATTCACAATGCTGAAAGATCTTATTGAAAAATGCTTTTAATATACACTTTGTCCCTGGTTCTCTGAGATAGGGAATTAATGAAATATAATAATTAGAAAAAAATTTCACCTTTATCGAAAGTTTAAATATTTGTAATAAAATTTCTTTCGGCCATTTGGGTGGATTTCATGAACATTGATAAAAATATACTCTGTAGTAGGGAAAAAGTAACAAGTGCTTGAAAAATTCGACAGTTCTGTTAGTTCCTGGTTAACTCAGTGGTTAGAGTAGTCGGCCGGATTGCGTTCCATCTCAGAGAGTCAGGGACAAAGTGCTTTTTTAAACATTTTTCATTAATAAAGACTTGGTTTTTGATTTCATGGTAATGTCAGGTGCAAGTGATCACAGCCAAATTTCTTTCTCATATTGCATACCGCAAGGTACACCACTGTAAGGCACCGTCGGCAGCGTTCTGAAAAGACGAATGACACTTATTATTTATTGAACCACAGCCGTTGTGGCGCCGAGCCCAACTGAATAGGATTTATACTTGAAATATGGCGGGGTCATTAATCGTTGTCGCCTATTAGATGTGCTGAGGAAATTGAAACGAGACGTTGATTCGATAAACGCAGGAAAAATGTGCCGCTTGTGGGAGAAACGTAGATTAATTTTTTTTTCAGTGTAAGCGCGCGGTCATTATGCCATTCTGATTGATGATTAGGCGTGATTGAAAAGATTTTTATGAACTTAAAGACCAAGTTGGCTTCTTTATCTTATCACTGTTAATCTAAAATCAGTAATTGTGTGGCATCTCAAGATTTAAAAGAAATAGGTTAATCCAAAGAAAATAAGTGTCATTTGAAAATGTCATAATTAATTTATTTAATCATTAATGTAGCTCGGTGCTCGGTGGCGTAGTGGATAACGATCGTTGTGGTTAAGCAACCTTCACAAGGGTCTGTTACGAGATGGGTAACCGAATAATTATTATCTCGAGCTACAAGGCGTTGGTCTCGGCATTTGCAGTCGTTAATACCGTTCAATCCGCCTGGGGCCAGCGTGGAGGGTCGTAGCCCATCGTCCTTAACCATCCATAAGGAAGGCCGGAGCCCCTGCAGTGAGAACGTAAAAAAGCTGATTGATGATGATGATGAATTATTTATGCACAATAGTACAAAGGTGTACGTTATACTTTGGACATTGTCTGCCAGTCAACCTTTGGGTGATGTGAAGTTAATATAAAATTAATGGTAGCTGCAAAAAATATTTAACCTACACAGATTTTTTATTTTTATTTATTGACCAGAAAAAATAACAAAATTTGCCAAACTGCGTAACAGTTTATCGGCGATAAATCCTACGCTCTTTACATATTTTTGCTTAATATGAGATAATATAAGCATAATATATATATCACTCTACTAATAAATATCAATAGAAAAGATTGTTGAAGAGATTGTTGAATTACTGATTAGTAACATGTATTCTTGGTAGTATATTTTGCATTATTTATCATAAGGTAACCGAACCCAATTATAAATGTTAATAGTTATTTTTAATAACATGTAATAATGTGAAATATTAAAAATTCATTAATATACCCTCATACATAAGAGGGTGTGAAAGCTGCTACAAATCTTACCTCGGGAGCTCGCCTATCAGTATCTTATGTCGATGCAATAGAACTTATTTTGTCATGTATACTATTTCTTAACATGACATCAAAGTACTGCTAACCATAAAAGAGAGTTAATGTGTCACCTCCTTTTGATGTCACCTCCTTCTGTAAATGTTGGTAAACAAAACAAACGTGGTGTTTTTCATATAAAGTTATTGTATAACATGAAGATAACTGCGTCGTGAAGTAACACTGTATTTAATTAGTACCCTTTCTGTATCACTCAGTGGGTCGATAACGTCAGGGCTGTCACTATCGCACATACTTAAATAATAAACAATAATGTAAAATTAAAAAAGGAAAAATAACCATATAATAGGGATGACGAAAAAATTTTTTTTCGTTTGTCCGCCAGTAGAATGTTGAAAAATATTAAACACGTATTTTTTTTATTTTTACACATTACGTAACGCTTTTGTTCATTTTTTACAAAACTGTAACGTAGCGAGTCCCCACTCCTCAACTTTAATGCCTATTAAAAATGGCTTATATACAAGCAAAATTTTTAATTGAAGCAAAAAAATACGTATCATATATTTTTCTATTATTTGACTGACGAAATAAATAGATTCTTTTTTTACCCAGTCATCATCGTTATAATCTTTTAATATAATATTCCTGAACCGATTACCTAAAGCGCTTGTCTTAATTCAAACCTCATAAAAATCTAGGTTGTGCAAAATTACCTTAGGTTATCCAAAACTAACAAATTTCTCCAAATAATGTTACGGGGCGGCGTCAAGGCAAAAGATAAAACCAGGTAAATCAAAGTCCCCATCTATGAGATAGATAGGGACAAAGGGTGACATATTGCGCATCATAAACTATTTTTAATTAATGATTACTTTTAAATGATTAGGATTATTATACCCTTTAAAAATTACGAGTGAAAATGGAAAAAAATATACAGTTAAATTGAGAACCCCCTCATTTTTTGAAGTCGTTTAAAGGGGGCAAGTTCCAGAGGTAGCTTTCGTTTTCTTGTCGAGAAGATTAACATCTTATGAAATATGATTTAGTTTTCATTTTCATTATTTCATTTTTTCTTTTCAAAATTATTATTATAAAATATTTACCTCAGTCAAACTATAATTTGAGCAATCTTCAATTTCATATGTCGCCATCTTGTTTGGCCAAGTGACGTAATAAATAATTCGTGGGCAAACGATCAAGACCTCAGAACTTAAACCTTGTAAACCTTTTTGGGCACTTTATGGTGTTATAATTAAATCATGTTTTTTTTAGTTTCTATATAACCATATAATAAAAAAAGGTTATATTACCTTTTCACCTTGACATCCCTGTCAGTGTTCAAATGAGTTTGAGGTTTATACCATTATCACTTCGGAATGCAAAGCGTTGATCCCTCCCACTCTTGTCTGGGACCCACATTCCAAGATAACACTAGACGCAGGATAAACAGGTGCCATAAACTATGGAATCAAATACCAAAAGGCCGAGTCTTTATTTGCCTACTAAGCGTATTTACTCAGGCTTGTTAATATTAAAGCTTAATTTATATATACCCTTTGAAATGGGGCCAACTTTATTGAAATCATTACAAAATTTCTGCCGGAATTTCTATTTTGTAGCAAACTTGAGCTCCGGTTTCCGAGAATATAGTATTTATCTTGTTTTAAATAGAATGTAAAAGTATTTGTGGCTAAAAATTTTTGGAATGTAGATTACATTTTATTTAATCGTCTCATAATTTTGAAATAGCAAAATGTTTTATTCCAGTTTGACTGTTATTAACTTATATAACTTAACAATATAGATCATACATAATTAATTAATACATACAAAACAAGTCTATACTATTATACGAGCATTATACGGAGGAAAGATTTGGTCCCGAAAATGAAGCTAGTCTTAAAACAACGCTGTTTTATTATCTGAATAGCATTTTAAATTGTTTCATCACTGGACACAACATCAGGTTATCCTAAAGAACTAATATGGAAATGAGTAAATAAGAACAAATGTTCTTTCTTTTTTCCAGAAAACAATCGTCACAGCATTTATTCACAAAGTAGCTTTTATAAAAAAAAACGCACTATATATAAAACACGTAACAATTAATATTCTTTTTTTTTAACAGAGCATCTGATCGAACTATCGAGAGAGTCCCAAAACAAGACAGCAGGCCTGTTCCTACAGGTGTACAGGGAACATGCAGTACGGGCTCACGCACCCCTCACAAATCTCTATGATGATATCCGGACTTTACTACGGATGGAATCCAACACTGAAGAGCTTGGGTCTCGACCGCCCAAAGACTTGGCTGATAGCTCAAGAAAGTTCTTCCGAGAAATATTCCCGGTGACCTATCAGAGCGTGCTCAAATTAGAAGCGAAACAATTCACGCCGGAGTACGAGGAGTGTTTGAAAGCAGCTTACGATGCGGTACTGCCGTTTGGAGACATTCCAAAACAGGTAACTGCATAAAGTTTTTTTTTATTCAATATTTCACGTTACTTTTTATTTCTTTCTCATCTGGAATTACAGAAAATTGCTTAATAATTTTCTCGAGTCACAATAAAATGTTTTTAAATACATTATGAAGACAATTGTGTTAGTCTAAAAAGTATTCTTTTAAATATAATAAACTTAAGTCATTCTCTAATATATATTTTATATAGATGGGTTCTTCGCTCTCACGTTCATTGGAAGCAGCGCGCGTTATTCTAAAAGTACTGGCAGCAGGCGCCAGCGCATTAAATGCGAGCGAGCGCGTTCTCGTGAGCACAGATGAAGAATGCTACGACAAGATCCTGAGAGTGCACGGCTGCTCTTACTGCCGAGGTTATGATGTCAAACCCTGCAAGATATACTGCCTCAACGTAGCTAGAGGGTAAATATAATCTTAAATCATCTGACCTATAATATTTACGGAAATTATTCCAACAGTGATCATAATGGTAGAAAATGGAGAATATACCCCAGAAGCATGATTAAAAACTGTTTGAATCAGAAATTGGTGGGTTGGTTATAAAACTTTTTTATTTTTACGAGTATTGACACCTATGTTTCTTCATTAAAACTCCAAAATAGAAAAAAACGATAATTAACATCTCAATCAAAAGTTGAAGTTTGAAAATACGCGTTCGTTTACAAAATGTGTCTCTCATAAATACAAATTGAAAAGCTTTGGCGTAGGAGATATTTAAATCCGTTGCGCAATAAATTCTTCAGCGATTCTTTAGAGCTTAGTAGTCTTTTTTATGGTCAGTGCAATAACGTGAAGACTTTGTATAAGCTGAACAAGCTTGGTAGTTGGTGTGCTAATTAAGTCTTAGGCGGGAGAAAAGTTTAGCAGTCGTTTCAAGTGCCGCGCTTCCTGACATTAAAGATACAACCATAACTTTAATAATTGCTTTAAAAACTTTGCAATCCTTACTAATTTTACTGCGGTTATACCTATATTTAATGGCCATAATATTCAATAAAATTAATCAAATAAAGCTGTAAAAGTAAATGTTCCAAATAAAAATAACAATGATAGGATAACAACGATGGTTAAAGAAAAAAACAAATAAATACGGCAAATACCAAAATAAAACTGTCATTGAAATATAATTTCTATATACAGGTGCATAGGATCTCTTGTCGCTGAGCTGGATGCACCCTGGGATAGTTACACGGAGGGATTGGAGCTGCTGACGAAGCCTGACGCTGATGTAGCACTGCGAGATCTCGAGACTCAGGTCTCGAAAGCCATCATGTATGCTTATGCGCTGGAGAATCATGCCATCTTAGAGAGTAAGGTATGTATGTAACTTAAAATAAACTGTTTATCTTATTCTCTAATTTCAGTTTATGAAATAGAAATCAATATTTTTTTTTGTAAATCAGGATTATTTAACATAGAACATAATCAAACGTATGACGTCTACTTTTAAATTGCCTCTATTTTATTATTATTGCAACAACTTTTTAGTTACTTTCTCTTATTTAGACAAACAATTCATGCGGGTTTATTTGAAGTATTAAAATAGGAGACTAAAACACGATTTAAAGGGTCACGTATACGTAAGGGAAAGTAGGTTTGATGCTTACTATAAATTCAGGACCGTATAAGAAAATGCACTATACAATCCGCATTATATTTTACGAAACGATAGTAAATAATAACGTGATAAATCTAATCAGAGGTTGCGTGTAGTTTCAAAGAGAGGAGCAATTTGTTCGAGTAGGTACTTCCGCCTCCTTCCCTGTTCGAGTGTTCAATTTGTTCCCAACCAAAGGAGATAATGTTACACTTTATAAAATATGCACCTTAATACACTATAGTTTAATATAATTCTGAACTACATTGGTTAATAAAAATTACATTTTGCACGCCATTTTAGCAGGAATCGCTATTATCGCTAGTATTAAAAACAATTCCAGGTAAACAAAGTTTAAAACTAAAAAATTGTGATGTTTAACGGTAAATGAAGTCTGAAGTGTTGGCAGCGAGCCACACGTGTGCAGTCATTGGGCGTTTCAATTATTACTCCGTTATCGTATTTCCGAGAGTCTGTTTTGCATGCGACCGTTTCATAGTAATAAAACGAAAGCCGAACGAGAATTCAATCACTATAACAAAGGCGATAGTCACTTCAATAATCGTAAAGCTCGATATGCCTTCCTAGATTGCGTCTGCATCGTGCAGCGGGTATAAAGCATGGACGTAGGCAGAGGTCACATGTGGGTGAGGAGCGCACCGACCCGTGCGCCCACGTTGTAGACGCGAAACTAAAACGTTTTCCAACGGCAGTCCGGACTTTTTACCACTTTATCTTACCGCTCCAGACAATTTAGTAAACGATGTTCCATCGTCGCACGACTTAACATCGGTAGAAAATTTATTCTTACGTCTTTTTTTGAAAAAAAAGCATGAAAATTGGTTCTTATTTATTAAAATTATGAACAATATAATAATTTTAATGTGAATGCAAGAGTTTACTTGCAGCTTGTTCTACTTACCGCAATGAATTCATTTATTTCTTAATTCAGTGTTTTTGAAGTCTATTCTAAAGTTATTCTTTAAAGGTCAAAGTTCATTTGACTACTGGCATATATTTTGAATGGATATCTTCGATTCGAATCGACAATGTTTACTACATCTGTAACAACACTTGTGAAGGTTGTTTCATTGCAGTTGCCAAGAGAAAATTCATCAAAGTTTTTTAATGCCAAGAATAAAATAGTTATTATTCAAGTTTTTTTTTTCTTTAATTATTGATCACGTGAAATAAGTAGTCTGTGTTTACATTAATTAAAAAAAAGAGGATGCAAATGCTTACCTGCATTAATTACAGAAGCTTGTCAGTGTTGAGTGCTAAGCTGAGAAATGAATTGTCTCGAAATAAATTACTCGGTGGAGAAAAGGACTGTGAGACGGCCACTTAAGCGCTTGCAGACAGAACTAAGAGGATCTGTTGAGTCACTGGAATTAATTTTGCAATGAAATGAAAAGGCAATAATTAATATCAAAATATATTTAAAATAATAGTTGCGATTTCGTAGTCTAATGTTTTATATTTAATTATATGTAACAAATTCCGGACCAAAAATAGATCCTGGTGGAACTCACTTTATAAAATCAAATATGTATTATATGTGATAATTAATTTCTCAGTATTTTATTTGATGCTACCAGGCATGATATCTTTGACATTACAGTACAATTCCACATTTACAAACAAATAAGAATTCATGCATATATAGAAGTTAGGCGGGGTCGCTTTACGTAAAGTGTGTGCACTTAGACCTTTCCATTAGTCCAAGATTTCCACACAGTGCCATTGTTCCCTGGCATTATTAAACAGACGCTAGGGACATTTTATTTGTGTTCGGATTCACTAAAGTAGTATAATACTGTTTAAACCACCTCGAACCGTATCATTACAGCTTACTACACAATAGGATTTCCCGTTTTTTTTTTTAATTGTTTGAATCATGATATTACTGGCTGTTCCGTGTGACTGTTTGCGTCATTTAGGTATTATTGTATTTGTAAACATAAAAAGCATGAAAACTATATTATTTACATTAAAATCAACCTATTTATATGGTTTTAAATACGTCAGAAATATTTTCATGTATTTATATATGATCAAAGCAACATGTGTAGGGATTTACACAACGATTTTGATTGATTAGAAATGTTTTTCTTTAATTCCATTTGTGATATATTTTACACTCTCTAGAAATTTTATTTATTTATTTTTGTTTTTTTTTTATTGGTGGGTATAAACTATTGCATTAACGGCTAAACGTGCCTTCTGGATTACGGAGGAACTCGAGAAAAATAATTTTTGGTCACCCATCTTATCACACTATCGCAGACCGAGCGTATATTAATATAGCGAGCATATCAATAAAGCTCTTATTAATCCATGCATCCAAGCACAATTGGAGGTCATCGTTATATCTGTCCTTGTCTTTTTCTGCGAGTAAGTCTATTGTAACTGTAGACGGTGCTGAGACAATCTCACATCCGCTGAATCATCGGCTTGTGTCACGGATTATCCTGTTCCTGTATTCAAGGGCATCATATCCGATGAGCCATCCCGATATGTGTACTCGCATATATACATATTTGCCACGTGTAGGATGCGTTACGCTTCCTATGGAATTTAATTTGAAAATGTCATATGTATTATGTCTGAATTTGCACGGAAAAAGCTTTTAGTGATAATTAACGATACATCTTCTCTTATGCAAAATACTATCATATTGCCAAATTAGTATGCCTAAATATATACTATGATATCCTTATTGACTTTTTGTTATATAAGTTTTGTTCACAAACAATTTAAATGTAGTCTAAATAAAATTAAAATCAAATTTAAATTATTTCAAAGCCTGACTGATAATTAAATTAAATAATATATCTCGCTTTGAAACAAATGAAATTTAAAGCTCAGATCAAAAGCCGTTGTTTTAAAATTTTCAATCCAATGAAAGTGCGTACGCACTTTTATATATATTACAATAATATCGACTTTAGCAAGCCAAGTTGAACGAAGTTTTGATGACTTTTAATTTACATTGGCTCCAAGAAAAACTTTTTTCTTTAAACTAACAGTCTATTGAAGTGAATATATTAACAATTGCATTATTTCAGAGTAAGATTGATTTAAATATTATAAAACATTTCAAGTATTACAAGGAAAATGCCTAATTAATTGTATCCCATCAAATCATAACATTAGAACTTTGATGATCAGTTAGTCAGTCTGTGACAAAATTAAGAAAATTTAACTTGCAACCATTGTTAAAGTACTCGTTCAAATGTAATGTAATTAGGAAATGTGCATCGTTATGTAATACCCTCTTGGTCACTTAAGATTTAGACTTCTAGTTTACACCATAATGAAGTTACAGGGGGTCAAATATACCCCGAATGACTTTGAGAAAAGAATGGTGCGGCCGTACCCTTTTCAACATTTTTGCTCGACTTGGCGGGGGCTCTTCCCCTGCCCCTAGTTTACGCAACAATGATCTAAAGTCTTCTTATAGTTTTAAAATACTTTTAAACAGACGGTGACAGATGTATAGACAACCGAGTGATGATATAAGAGTTTCGTTTCTACCTTTTGAGGTCATCATCATCCTCCCGCTGTTCCCAGTTCACGTGGGCTCTGGCCAGTGTGCCCTATTCTTCCACAGTTGTCATCTCATCACTCGTTCCCTTCACTTTCATATCATGCCTCCCACAGTACTTTTTTTCTGTGATCGTCGTCTTGCTCTCTATACATCGACATTCATTTCTATCTTTTGAGATGCGGAATCCAAAAAACATTACAATAATGAACTTATATAAGGTCGATGACATAAGTTCAAGTCTTCCATCCTATCACAAACTGACTGGCGCCCACGCAGCGCTTTCACCCAGAATGGTCTCAGCAAGAGGGGGACGAGTGTTAAAATATTTTATCCGCCATTTTTTTACTTATCTGTATAAATTAATTAAAATAATTTATTAAAATAAATTAGAAAGATCCACTATCATTCATTATATTACAACTGGTTTCTGAAATAAAGATGTCTTATTAAAATCGATCCGAATTAAGATCGAAATCAATGCGTTTGCGTTCTGCTACTGACGTGCGAAAAATCTACATACTACCCCTTAATGACTATTAATGCTAATTAAGGACCGGTGTTAATGTGAAAATTAAATTAATTAGTCAATAGCACGTCGTGTGTTGTTGAGAAAAATTGCACACTAATTAAAAAGAATTAGCATTAATATTCATTAATTAATAATATATATTCTAGAGTCTATGCTATCAAAATAGCATAGACTCAAATATAAGATCGTAGAATATTTTTAACCGACTTAATGTCTTTTTAAAAAAATATTTTTAGTGATCCAAAGAAACATAACGTGACGTTATTTAAGGAATAAGCCTGTTCTGACACATTTTTTTAAAAAATAGCGATAATAACACATAATTACGCTAAACTGATTAAGGATCTGTTCGATTTATCAGAAAATGTTAAGGTAGTTCTGTTTTTTATTAACGCCCCTTGTATTTTTAAAGATTAGATTTAATTACACTATCTGCTGTGTTGCTTACACAAGATGTGAACTTAATTGTTGAAGTGACATCAAATGTGCAGGCGTAACACAAAGACAAATTGTTATGGAAATCTTCTAAAACCACGTTGACTATCAAAGATGACAAATGTCTAATAAAAATTTACCTTTTCATAAAGTATAATGAACGAGCGAAAATTTGTATTGTATGATTCTTGTTATGACTTTTCT